ACATGTAACAGATATGTGCAATAGTGCAAACACTATAATTTTGCGCACTTTAATACAGACTGATAAATGTTCTGTGTCCATAAAAATACATTAACATATGCATAAGCACAAACAGACTTGGTCACACATGCACAAACACACAAAAGTCATGCAAACAAAACGGTTTTATACTACAGACACACAATAACACCAACTCTGCACTCACATGCTGACACACTGTCACATGGCCTAACTTAGCAACATGAACAGTCTGTAATGTGTCTGATTGCATTGACTTACACCAGTGTTACAAATCTGATATATTTAATATAAACAAATTAAAGCATATATTCAAGCATATTAGCAGCTTGCTCTACATTGCACTGTGCCTCCAGGTCACATTCGGATTATCTTTGTGTAACCAGGGGGGGTATATAATATAGAACATAAAGAGGCTGCCATTCTTTAACCACAAATGGACATAAAATCCTCAGAAGTTTCTGACAGAGGCAGAAGGGTATGCTTTTATTAATACCCACACAAAGTTTAAATTAAAGTTTTTTTTTTTTATGTTAACACATACAATGGAAAATGTGATAGAAAAGAAAATCAGTTATAGGTGCCAGTTTCATCTCCTGTGCACTGCTGAGGTGCCCCTTGAGCAAGGCACCTAACCCCAAAAAACTGCTCATGGGGCCCTGCTAATGTGGCAGCCCATCACTCCTCTCTCTCCATGTCTGCATGTCCACAAGCCCTGCTTGAGCATAAGTGTGCATTTCAGCCTGTATGTGTAAATGGTAAATGGTAAATGGACCTGTATTTGTATAGAGCCTTTCTAGTCTTCCAACCATTCAAAGCACTTTTACACTCGTGCCACATTCACCCTTTCACCCACATTCACCCTTTCACACACATTTACCGAGTGATGGCAAAGCCCATCAAACAAAAACTGACACATTCACACACCAATGCACAGGACAGCATCAGGCAGCCACAATTTGGCGGGTTCCAGTTATCTCTTGGCTCAGGGAGTACTCTCGACAATGTTGGCACCCAGGAGACGGGAATATCGAACCCACCAGCTCCTTACCATAACGGGAACGACCCGCTCTGCCTCTGAGCCACAGCAGCCCCTCATGTGTATAAAAATAAAAATAAAAAAGAGTGAAAAAAATAATTTCTCCAATAGGGGATTAATAAAAAGTAAATCTTAAATCTTAAGGCTATTAGGTATTTAATACAAAAAAAGCCAATATATTGATAAAAAATATATGATTAAAAATGTATCCTACGACAGGTAACCAAGCGCTGCTGCCCCAAATAATTCTTAGTAAATGTAATCATAGCTATCGGTTAATGTTCCTGTCAGTTGTTGTTGGGACACTTATCATTGTAACATCGTATCAAGCTGATAATAACATTTCACTTTAGCCAGGATGTGCATGATAAGGTAACATTAACGTCAGTACAGATGGCTGGAAGTGTAATTTTTGTAATAATCATATTTTTGCTAAAAAGTATCAATAATTGAATGAAGTGTAAACACATGTTTTTGGTGAAAACGGGCTGATTGTTAATCAATCACCCATCAGTAATGGGTAAGCTATGATAGTTAAGATATCTGTAGTTAATTAGTCACACGTTCTCTCTGCAATCAACAGTGATGCTATTCAGCTAATGTTAATGTTTCTATTACGTTATATTTGTCAGATATCCGTAATGAAGTCTGAGTGTCAATCATTTATGTTGCCCTGGGTGTCATTTATGTAGTCAGTAGGAGCTTTCATTTATTGTATATTCGTAGTAGCACGGTATACTTGCTTATGATAAATAGCATCATTAGTGTGTGTTTGATTATAGTGCAAGCAGTTCTATTACAGTCTGTTCATTCACAGTGAGTGTCTTATGAGTAAGAGAAAGGGTGGCATTTGTCAGTTTTTGGGCAGCCTCAGAAAAGAAAAAAGTTAATTGAGAGCAGTGAGAAAATGAGAACTGATAGAAGTATACAGTAGGACGAGAGATGAGTCAAGGTTTCTTGATATAATAATCACTGGTTAGTAATCCATTCCTGAATGTCATGGCAGGAAACACCATTTAATAATAATATGTCTTTCATGTTTACTCTGGTGCGTTTAGAGTAAGTAAAGAGAGAGCACAAGAATGCCGACAGGGCAGGGAGAGATGACATTGAGGTGGGTGAGAAAAGGAGCAAATATTTATGGTTAAGGCCAAATAATGACATTGCAACAGTCTAATACTAATGTACAGGTTGGCTTGAACAAAGCACCTCTGTAGTATCTTTTTAAACCACAGAAACTATTTGTGATAAATTTAACTTAAAATCAGGTAATTGTCCTCTTGCTTTTACTAATGTGTAGATGATTGCCTCTATCAAAGTCACTTGATTTCTATCTTTAAAGACTCATGTTATCAGGATCTTTGCAGATGTCTCACATCTCATAGTTTTTGATGATCAGAGGTAGTTGAGCTGATTGGCCCTTTGATCAACGTAGCTGTTAAGAGCTACATCACAGGAAGCAAATCACCCATTTGTCCTCAGTAGACTTTTGGCTGCAGTGCTGCCTGTCCAATTGTGTATGCTTAGTTAAATGATGAATACTTTCTTCAAGCAAATAAAAGTAGATTACAATTAGTGGTTAGTTTAGTTTTTGAGCTGCAACTGGCTCTTTTTTGAGGTAATGCATGTGGAGCCAGTCATCCAGTACAGTACGAGCCACCGTCACTTGCTTTGGAAGTAGTACAAGTAGTTCCTGGTAGACTAGTAAGAAACACTGAGATTTAGCTTACTAATAATGCTAAAGGCTGTCTCTGAACAGTGCATGCTGAAGCATTAGCACACCCCTATCTCCTCAAATACTGCAGCTTGTATAATGGCCCTACGCAACCCCTTTCATGTTTCTGGATACACCCATTGGGTGTAACGTTTTGATGTCAATAAAGTCAGGGCATGTAGTATAAAGAGCAAGAAAGTCCCCACATGGAGGTGAAGGTGAAGGGATGGATGTATGGATTAAACAAACAAAAGACTTTGATCAAGGAGACTGCTATTTGTGTCCCGTGTGAAACAAAAAGTTAACATTGACTTCTTTTTCACTTGTAGTGAAAGTGTAATCTACAGTAGCCTATAATGTAGATTATGTAACTTGTGTGTAATGAAATTTATGGCACTTGGAAGCCTGAAGTCAGAGCTGAGATTTATATCACAACCGAGTTTACCATATTACAACAAGTCGGAAAACCTGGCCCAGGTTGGCGCCATTGTTAGCAATCACCAGTTGGTATACTAACGGTCTACACCCATATTTTGTGTACAATGGTAACTAGACCTTTACCTTGTATAGCGACCTGCTAGTCTTCGACATTCAAAAGCGCTTTTACCACTACTGGCCCTTTCACACACATTCCATTACAGTGATAGCAAAGGCCGCAACCACGCACCCAGCAATTCCAACTTGTAGACTCGCAGGGGGTTTCCAAGGTAGGGGTTGCTCATCACCTCCCCAATAATCTCTATGGTAAACATATCTGGGGAAAAGTGATGAGGTTGGAGCCGTAGACGTCTAAGAGTAGGGATACTACTCTAACCAAACCATCTTAGGCTGATGCCGTGTTGCTCTGTCGTAGTTGGTTGTTTGTTTTTGGCACTCCGTGCTGGTTTGAA